GATAGTGTTCGACATTCTTCCGTAGAATGTCCTTTCTTTTATGGTATTTGCAATATTTTTCGGGGTTGGGAGCTGGGATCTCCTCGTCCTCGGTTTGATTATCAATCGCAAATAGCGTGTGTTGACCTTGGGTCTGGGGCGCTTGTTCCCTTTGGAAAGGTTTTTTAGTTCCGGTAAGTTAGGTAGTTTGTCCTTTGGATTCTTTGAATTTGAGGGCCAGGTACGCGATTTCCTCCTCTGCTCGCGCGAAGTGGAGCGCCTTATGGAGGGCATCGTCCAAGGTTGCTGGTCGTCGAACCGTGAGCTCTTCGCGGAATCTCGAGGAGAACCATAAGCCATTACGGAAGGCTGCCAGGGCAATCTCTTCGTTTAGGTTGGCAATTTTTGATTTGGTCGTTTTAAACTTTTTGATGTAAGATCGCAGAGATTCGTTTTGGAGTTGAGTCAGGTTCCATAAGTCCGCTTCAGACGTTCTATTTATGATTAGCACTGAGTACTGTTTGAGGAACGCAGCTGCGAGTTGATCGAAATTGTCGATCGAATTTCCTTCGAGACTTGCGAACCATTCTAAGGCGTGACCTACAAGGTATTCTGCGAAGAAACGGCAGTGTCCTGCTTTGCTTTCCTCATCGGTCAGGTACGCTCTTGTTATGGCTAAAAGGAAAGCTCTCAGGTGAGCTTTTGGATCAGTCGTACCATCGTATTCTGGGAAGCGGAGCTTCCCGGCGTCGCGTATACGGAAGTGAGCGATTCTATCCGTGAACGGAGTTTGTCTCGTCTCTTCTATCACGCAATCTATGTCGGGAGCGTAGCTCACCGCCATGTGCAACTTAGAGTGCATTTGGGCCATATTGGCGTTGGTTTGCGCAGCATAATTACGAAAGGTTTCCATATCGACGATGCTCCTTGGATCGATCGTTTGTGTTTGATTCGAGGAGCGTATCAGTGGGATGATGCACCGGTTGTTATTAGACGGTGTTTGCGGGTTTACAGAACTGTTTTGGATGTTATCCGTCGAGTTCCACAAGCATGATAGGTTCCCGGGATTGTGGGAGCTCGAAGCGGGCGTTTGGATTCGTATCCACGTGTATCTGGGTTGTGAGTAGCCTCGTGGTAACAGTGGTGGAGATGGTAACCTGGGGAAGGTAGGTGTTACTCGTGCCCCTGCTCCCGTGGATGGGTTTCCTAGAGAGGAGGGTACTAGAGCAGGTCGGTCAACTGCAGGTACAAATGCGACATGTCGGTTTACGCGAGGAGTTACCTCTATTCCCATGATGTCGAGGTGAGTTCGGGGTGTTGATTCCGAAAGAGTGGCGTTGCTAGGACGAATGGAGGTCGATGCGAGGTCGGGAGTTACCTGAGGGTGTTGTCCTACTTTAGGTAACGCATCGGTGAGCTCGCGCTCCTGTCGTTCCATTCGCGCGACTAGGCTTCGATTTAGGATCTCTTGTGTTTGGCTTTTTTCGACCAATGTAAGGATCATTTTGCGGAGCTCAGCTAGCTCGTCGGCGGACCGCCTGGGGATCTGCTCAGTGAGACTGATATGATTGTGCGGTGGTTGTTCGATCCGATTGGGAGATCGTGACGCGTTGCGATTCTCTCTTCCCTCGACTCTTGAGGAGGAAGGAGGTTGTTCTTGACCAGATGAGGTCGAATTTTGAGGTAGGCTTTCCATGTTATTTTCATGGAGGTTTGCGATTTGGATTTCTAAAGAGAGATCCGTAGGGAGGCGTGGCTCCAGGTCAATGACGTTTGAGGTCTGAGGCGTTAGCTTCGGAGTCAGAAAAATCTATTTTGAGTCAGATCTCGCGGAATCGGCGGATTTGTGATCCATTTTTGTTATTTTGCAACGGAGGCGTTAGCTTCGGAGTCAGAAAATTCTATTTCTTCCCTACAGACGGCGCCAAAATGTGGGTGATAAAATCCACACTAGAAATTTGTTGTTAGATTTATGGGCAAAGAGGGCTAGATTTTCAATGATATTTTGAGAATTGAATTGCTAAAAGAACGAAAGGATTTAATGATGTGAATCAACAGTTTACAAGTGAAAAGTATGAGAATACAAATGCTCGTAAGTATTAGGTCAAGTAATAGGTAGACGATGATCCCTCCAAGTCGTCCTCCATCGCTTTATATAGGTCTTCTGGTTAGGTTAACTCCTTCCGAGATCCTCGCCGCTGCTCCTAGAAATCAGGTCTGTTCCGAGATTTTAGCCGACCTAGTCAATTGCCTTTATCAAATCGCCAATCTCTTGCCAGGCCGGGCCTGTATTGATGAGAGCCTAATAATATTTTGCTACTGGATTTCCAGCTTGAATTCCAGGCCCAATAGCGTATAATAGCCCTTGGACAGCCACCGAAGTAGGAGCAAGTTGTTCAAGTTCTCTCTCTTTAATCGAATTTATCATCATCTCAAAAGTCAATCGATCCCACGGATAAGAAAGAAATGAAGTTAGGTTTTCCGACATTTCAGCATGCTCTTTAACAATTTTGGGATAATGGGATGTTGGCAGGAGATATCCGTCAACCAGGGCAAGACAAGCATAGCGAATCCACAATGATGGATCATCAACAATTTTCTTCTTGAGCATGGTGATAACTCGCACAACAGTAACATCCGACTCAAGCCCAAATAACGTGCTATAAAACGGAATCTCTTTCCCAGCGGTCCCCCTCCTTTTTTTTGGACACGACATGATATCGCCCACAAGAAAGTCCGGTGACCAGATGAAACTCACGCAGAGAAAATCAAACAGGCGTTCCAGCGTAAACCACCCAGATCTCGTTTGCTTTTGCAATGTCCAACATGCTACCAAGCAGAAAAAGACCAAAACTGGCGGACCAAGCAGGTTTGTTTGGTAAATCCAACAAACCCCCGGGAGGTGAATCTCTGATAAACTCGATTTCGGATTCCTCCAACGAGTCGATGATGCCTCTAAGAGTTTTCATCTTGTTGTACACATTGGTCCTCTCTCCAAGGGGTTCTTCACCAGCAGCGATTAGACGATGAGGGAGGTCAAGATCTACCATCTACAAAACCCAGAAAAAAACCAAAAATTAAGAACAAAATAAGCGAAATAGATCTGAAAACAATGACCAAAAACAAGGTTTAATTGAGATACTCACTTGGACGAAGTAATCGTAACAAGCCGCAACTCAATCGGAGAATTGATTTGAATATCGGAGAAAAAAAAGGAAACTCGGAGAGGACGAAAAAGAAACTGGAAACACTAAGAACACTGAGAAAGGAAAATAAAAAACAGTTGATATAAAAACTAAAAAACACGACCCTTCATTTCGCACCGTTCTCATGATTAATAGAACAACTATTCCTAAAAAATTCTCGGAAATCAAATCTTTGGGAGAGATATGATATCTCGGTTCTGACACACATCTACTGTTCTCTCATATATCTCCTTATAAATTGATAGACGGGTAGGAGTTTATAGATCATTATTTTGGTACAGATGCCGGTCAAATAGTGGATAATCCTGTCAGTTAATTAACGAGTCCTCTGTGGTCACCGCGTATAGATTTCCTACTAACTAATAATAACTATAAAAAACGTGTGTGAGAAATGAACCCCCATATATACAAAAATATTATACTTAGATTTTGATAACAAAAACCTAAAGTATGTTTATCTAGTGCTATTTTTTTTTTGCGGAATGAAAATAAAAATATCTTAGAATTTATTTGTCCTTGGTGATCGTTTATGATTGGAATATGAATTGTATGAGAGTTCAGAGTAAAACCCTATATTTTTGAATCAATATGAATTTTGTGTAAAAAACGAAAAATGTTTTACATAATTTAAATTCTTGAAAAAAACAATAACAAATGCGATATTTTTTAGGAAAAATTATTATTTAGGGTAGAGAAAGAACAATTGGAGATTCGTTCAATTTTAGATCTGAGATGGTTTGATTTTATGTTCATTGTGAAGTTTATGTAGAGATTCTTTAAATCTAATTTGTTCGCTCATTAGTTAGAGAACTGAAAATTTACAAATTCATTCAAAGAGAAATAGAGATTGAAGAACATATATGTTTGTTGGTACCTAATCGGTTTACATAACTGTACCGGAAATAGGAAAATCAAACCAAGTGTAATAGATAGGTCTGGGCATTCGGGTACCCGTTCGGGTTCGGTTCTTTTTTTTCGGGTATCGGGTCTATTCGGGTAGGGGGTCAAGACCCATTCGGGTATTCTAAAAATTTGGTTCGGGTTCGGTTCGGGTTCGGGTCGGTTCGGGTATTTTAATAAAAAAAACAAAATACCCGAAAATAACCAAAAATACCCGAAATATTTTCGGGTTCGGGTCGGGTTCGGGTTTTTAACTCATATATACCCAAATCTAACCGAAATACTCGATTTATCGAAAATACAATGGTTACTCTTTACCCAAATATAACCAAAAATATCTAAAATACCTAATATATTCGGATTTATGATTGTAATTTTAGGTATTTCGGGTATTATAAACATAAATATAACTGATATTTATAGGTGTATATTTGTATTCGTGTACATTCGGGTATTGGATTCGGTTCGGGTTCGGTTCGGGTTTTTTTCGGGTAGGAAGTTAGGACCCATTCGGGTATTTTTAAAAATCGGGTTCGGATTCGGTTCGGGTATTGTTCAGGTTTTTCGGTTCGGGTATTCGGTTCCGGGTATTTTGTCCAGGCCTAGTAATAGAATCGAGTTATTAATCAGATCTTCTTATCACTACGTACACGTGTTCGGCTGTAATCCTTCCAGCTTTGAAGGCTTCTCATTGGTTGTGTGACGGCACATAATAAAAATAATCCTCTGCTAACAGAAACACTATAACACAGTACACTCTGTTTCATTATTGGCTAAAAATTTAAAAAACGCGTCCACGAGTAACACGTGTCATGCTGACTCCTTTTGTGCAGATTTACTTGGTCGCAAAGAAATTTGGACTGAAAACACAGTTCCTATATAAATCATCTCTCTTCCAATTTCTTAAATAATTCACTTTTTTAATTTTTTTTTTCTTTTTGTAAAAATTTGTTTTTTCTTCAATCTCAGTTTTTTTCGTGTTAGTGAATTTGGGGATTTGACCATGGCGGAGGAATTTGGTAGCTTTGATTTACTCGTTGGTGATGATGATTTCTTCTTCGATTTCGATCCTTCAATAGTCATTGATTCTCCTCCGGCGGAGGATTTTCTCCAGTCTTCTTCACCGGATTCATGGATCGGAGAAATTGAGAATCAATTGATGAACGATGAGAATCATCAGGAGGAGAGTTTTCTGGAGTTGGATCAGCAATCGGTTTCAGATTTGATCGCCGATTTACTCGTTGATTATCCAACAAGCGATTCTGGCTCCGTTGATTTGGCGACTGATAAAGTTCCCGATGTTATCACCGTCGATTCTCCCGTCGCCGGAAAGGAATCTGAAGGATCTGATGATTCCGGGAAGGAGAATTCGGATTTGGTTGTTGAGAAGAAGTCTAATGATTCTGGGAGTGAGATTCAGGATGATGATGAAGAAGGAGACGATGATGCTGTGGCTAAGAAACGAAGAAGGTATATCTGATTTTACTCTTTTTAAACCTAATTGAGAAAAATTAGGGTTTATGGATGGATTTGTATATTTGTGTTGATTTTGGTTTCATTTAGATTTGAGAACAAATCTTTTAAGTAATTTAGCAGATACGTATGTGTATCATTGAAGATTTGATAAATTAGTGTTTATATTTTGGTTGCCATTATATAGTTTAGCTTGTGATATTCTTCATGAGCTGGTTATGTTCAAACATATGTATGTGTGACGTTAAAGATTTGATTATGAGTGATGTGATTGGTTTTTTTGTCATATGGAGTTCCAGTTTGTGTATTTTGGCTGCATTTAGAATCTGAGGTTTGATAATTGGGATGTGATTGTGGTTCAGGAGAGTAAGAAATAGAGATGCGGCGGTTCGATCGAGAGAGAGGAAGAAGGAATATGTGCAAGATTTAGAGAAGAAGAGTAAGTATCTCGAAAGAGAATGCTTGAGACTAGGACGTATGCTTGAGTGCTTCGTTGCCGAAAACCAGTCTCTACGTTTCTATTTGCAAAAGGGTAGTGGCAATAATACTTCAATGATGTCGAAGCAGGAGTCTGCTGTGCTCTTGTTGGAATCCCTGCTGTTGGGTTCCCTGCTTTGGCTTCTGGGAGTAAACTTCCTTTGCCTATTCCCTTATCTGTCCCACACAAAGTGTTACCTCCTCCTGTCAGAACCAGAAAAGCTGGTTCTAAACGGGCTAGGGAGTTGTAGCAAACCATCTAATACCGACGTGAGTCGGAGATGTAAGGGTTCAAGGCCTAGGATGAAACACCAAATCTTAACCCTTGTGGTGTGACAACGCCTTTTTAACTGCTTCCTTTGCGCATTCGAGTCGTAGATGAGTGTCGTCCTTAGTAGTCTCTCTTGTTTTTGTATTTTCGCTGTTGAAAATTTTCTGTCTAATATGGATAAGTAAACGGTGAATGTGAGTCTTATGGTCCTGGATGATATCTATCTAATAATGTTTCTCTACCTTTAAAATCCAATTTTTTTTTTTTGATTTTGAGGCATAACGTCAGGTAATAATATCACTTCTAATTACTAGAAAATAATTCATTAGGTTGATTAACATTGATAAAGCTTTTCCTCTCATGCTAGTTTTGACATGTTTGCTTCATTTGACATTGTCACAGAGATCTTTATTTGTAGAATGTGGTACGGATACGCAGACAGGTAAAAAAATGGATTTTATATTTATTCATGCTAGAAGAAAAATAGTTTTATTAGAATAATGAAGATAATGTAAACTTCGGGATGTAAAAAAGTTCGAGTCTTTTCAAGGACATAAACACTAGTAAAGAGATCATAGATAGTTTGCAGTTCCTTCTAAGCAGCATAGAAGTTGTTGATGGTTCTTTAGTGGTTCCCGGTCCCGTTTTGGTTGATGTTCATTGTTTCTTTCTCCAGTATCTCTCTCTCAGCCTCGGCTTGTCTTTCAATCTCCTCGCGAGACTTGTAGAACGTTTCCACGAAACGGTTCAGGATGTTGGTCACTGCAGATAGGGACAATAGCCAGAGTTGAAATGAGAACTGCAAAATAGTTAAGACAGTAGAAGAATAAACTTGTGATGGTACCTTCCTCGAAGCTAACGCTAGTTGGATACTCACTTATGTAGGAATCTACAATCCTTCCCTGTGGATTACAAAGTAAATATAGAATTTGAGCATGATACATGTCCTGAAAGGTCTAACCGAAAGTTATTATATAGCTTACCGCTTCTGAGTATAAGATATTAAGCAACTGCGCGTCGGCATCAATTCTACCAAGAAAATCATACAGCACCTAAAAACACGAATATCGGATTAGAAGCAGCTACAAAAACTTTTTCTCAGCTATTTTCGTGCAATTATCTTTACTACACATTCATGGGGCTTACGTTTCGGAACCCGACAAAATTTGCACCATCATTTTCTGAAGCTATGAACTCGTCATCCACCTCCCTCTCGATGTCGTATAACTGTTGCATATTCTCAGCAACCGTATTCAATTCAATCTGTAATTTTCAGCAAAAGTAAAGGAGAGTTGGGAATTAGAACAAAAGAAGCAACCATGATCCATGAGTTACACAACAACAATCATACCTTCGATGCAGCTTCTAAGTGAACAAGGTCTTTACCAAAATCCAGCAATTCCGGCATTTTTTCACCAACAAGCTAAACCCGTAAGAAGATAGTAATTAAAACGTTAAGCACCTTATGCAAATAACCCGCATTAACCATATGTTACACAGAGTATTTGTTACCTTGTAAAAGTCATGCATCAAATCCACATTATCAGATAACCTAACAAGACTAGCCAGTACACACTCCGCATTAGAACCTGCAACACACAACACATCAACAAACATATGCTACAAAATATTAAAGTTATGAAATTGGAAATCAATACAACAATACATGATACCTCCTAGAATTTCCAGTGTTGAAATTGTTTGCATAATCCGAAGCAACTTCACAGATCCCATTATCTAGTACATGAAATATGATTACTTAATAACCAAGAAGGAGATAGCTATATTACCATGACACAGTAAAATGTCACCCTCCACTATACATACCTCTTTAGTAGCAGCGATTATCGTATTCAGCCAGATTCTTAAGTCTTTCACCCTGGAAGAATAGTCAACCTTAAAAGCAAACACTCGTAATTTTGGTTCTATCCGCGGAACCTTCATTAGTTCCCCGAAAATCTGCAACATTTTTATAGTTAAATGTCAGAGCACATATGATGAACAAATAACATTTATGGCTTTAAGAAGTGAAGCAAAACCTCTTCAAACTTTCCAAGCATTTCCTTGTCACCACCAGCAGAGTTCTGAAAACACAACATGAGTTAGTTTTAGAGTTCAGACCAGTTGAGATATTCGTATTACGACAATATTGTTAGAAAGATTACCCTCAACAGATCCATTTCTTCCTTGCTCCGACAGATTTTGATTAGATTTTTAATCTGTTCAATGATCAGAGCTGAAGAATCCAAATCTAGAACTGCATTCTAAGATTACAAAAAGAAAAAAAGGAATTTGATATGTAAACATAAGTGTTACAAGTGGTGCAAAATGTTATTGTTACACAAAAATTATTTAAATACTAATAATACCAAATGTTACACAAACTTTTTTTTTTTTTTTTTTTTGAATACCAGGAGGTTCTGGGCCAAAGCCCGTAATCTCTCCAGGCCCGAAACCACATCATGTAATATTAGTTTCGTCCCAAGCGTTATTCGAACCGGCGACCTCTAAGCTTCGCCTAGGGTCTTTACCAGTTGAGCTAACGATACTTGGTAAATGTTACTCAAACTTTACTTATTGTTTTCATTCAAAATTGATGGGTAAAACTTACGAGCATATCTGGTAGAGGAATCTTAATCTTGCTAAGCATTGTCGCACAGTTACTTGCCTGACACAAAAAAAAGAAAAAAAAAAGATTAGATTTGAAAGTATGAGCTCAGAGGTAAGAATTGTAATCAGTAATAAATTAGTCAAAGACTTGCCATTGTGATAAGATATAGAATTTGCTAAGTCTAACTTTTTTTTTGTTTTACTCACAACCAAAGAATGGAGTATAGATCATCAATACATCATCAGGTTAGTGCATCTTATATATCTTCCACTTTTTGTTATATTTGGTATATTCACAACTGTCATTTTACAAACAAAAAAAAAAAATGATTATATTTTTTTCTTAATAAAAGGATTTCTACATACAATGAAAATAATTGATTATATTTTTACTTATAAAAGGTTTTCTACATAAATAAAATCAATGATTATATTTTTTTCTTATAAAAAGTTTTCTACATACCATAAATGTTAAATGTGTGCATAAGTGAAATTGTTCTATTTATTATTTGACAGTCTGTCATTTTTTTGACGTCACCAAACGAATTTCCACCACGTTATTCTCTTTGCAGCTACGTCATCAATAATAAATGATTATATTTTTTTCTTACTAAAGGTTTTCTACATACAATAAAATAAATGATTATATTTTTTTCTTATAAAAGTTTTTCTACATACCAAAAATGTTATGTGTACATAAGTGAAATTGCTCTATTTGGTATTTGACAGTCAGTCAATTTTTTTTTCTGCGTCAACAGTCTGTCATTTGTACATACAATAATTGTGATTTGTCCTAATAACTTTGTCTTTATATGTTACATGGGTACAAAAGCAAAAAAACGATGTAGTTTTGTTTAAACAAATTACCACCACGTTGTTCTCTTTGCAGCCGCGTCATCTAAGTCATTGATTTTTAACGGTTGGCTAAAATTGTTGAAGTCAATGTTAGTTTTGAATTAAAATGCATAATCTATATATTACTTTTGATTTTTTTTTCATAAGTTGAGGTTGGAAAAGACACGAATACTTTGTATAAGTAGAAAATTCACTATACGAATAGTACTGGTTGAATTACATCACTTTTCCATTTAGTTTCAGTATGGTTCAACTTTTACAGTTACAGTGTTTTTACATAGAATTAAAACCTTTAGATTATTGCATCTTTACTATATAATCCTCTAAATTTTAGATAACACGATCTTTAACATATATAAATAAACTTATGTTATGTAAAATACTTTAGAGTTAATATATATGTTATATATACATATAAAAAATCGAACATATTAAGACAAACCAAATTATTTACAGCCTAAAGGATTTGACATCAACATCAAGTTTAGTTTGCTAGTTTGTATAGGCATAGATTAATATTAGTTTGTTTTAGATTCAATTTATTTTATGTTCATATAATTTTTTTATTGATGTTTTGTGTTATGTTAATAATAAAAGCCTCAACTAAAGATAAATTGTAAGAAAACCCCTCAATTATATATTTAGTGAAAAAACTCCTCAACTTCAAATATGTTAATGCAAATTCCCCTCCGTCTACAGTGGCGTGAAAATTGGATGGACTACAATTCAAATTAAAATGTATTGTTTTTCAGAATTTCTCCTAATCGACTTCGACACCACACAAAATTCAGAAAATCTTACTATGATAAATTCGGGTTCATCAATTTAGATTTTTCACTTTAAGAATTTTAGAGCTAAGATTTGGAGATTTATAATCGAATAGGCGAACATTTTGTTGTTTTGTTTATAATTCACGTTGTTTAAGTGTATATATGTCGTTTACCAATTACAATCTAACTGTAGTCCCTCCAATTTTCACGACAATATAGACGGAGGAGGATTTGTATTAACAAATATTAAGTTGAGGAGTTTTTTTATTAAATATATAATTGATGAGATTTTTTATGATCCATCTTTAGTTGAGGGGTTTTGTTACTAAAAACGCTTATGTTAATTGTAAATTACTTTTTTTTTTTTTTTGTCATCCGAAGTTAAATAAATAGCGCTCAAAAGAGCCATTCTTGTGGAATGTTGTTTACATAAGTGATATGTAGCGGATCTGTACGAACTTTTCGTGCCAGATTATCCGCTTTTACATTTGCACAACGAGAAATTAAAGATAGAGAGAAGTTGGAAAACTCTTCTTTGTCGCTCTGAAATTCCTCCAAATACACTAAGAATGCCGGCCATTCGGTTGGGGAAGACACCATCTTCACCAGATTAGAACAGTCTGTATAGAACGCGACCTCTTGGTTGTCTGCACCAATCATACACTTCATCGCCCAGAGGAGGGCCTCGACTTCTGTATGTAGTGGAGATAGGCTCCTACGGAGGTTGGCAGCTCCCATAGTTGGTGGCGCGTCATTTGGTGATGTACAAAACCACCCTAAACCTGAAAACTTATCAATGTCTTTCCAAGATCCGTCCACAAAACAACGGTGTCCAGAGAAGTTCGAAACAAGGGGCACATCCCTTATTTGAGACCGAGTTGCAAGTTCCAATGAACCCTGATTTTCACATTGAAGCTCTGCTTGAGCCGTGACCCACAATTGAGCCTCTTTTTCCGCTAACCGTAAAACCTCTAGAAGGTCTTTGTCAATATTTTCAAAGATGTATTCATTCCTTGCTT